TCTTTCTTTGCTTCCTTTTCTTGACAGTCGTTTATCATGAAGCAGTACATACATCAGGGTATGCTGTAGTAAGCTGAGGATGGTGGGACACATGTATTTTGAACATGGCGGCACAAATCTCGTTGGGCAATCTGTACCATGAGCTTTTGAAAGGATAGATAGTGGGTTGAGCTGGATGAATGGCTGCAATCTTGAAAAAACAATCAAACTATGAATCATCTACATGGCCTTGTGTTCTCTCTCGTGACTCTCGAAATCACTGCAGTAGTGACTCCCGCTTGTTCGTGACAATGCAAATCTCGCTTCATCCATCCGTCGCTTACCTCGAGCCGCTGCAATATGTCTCTGACGCCAACATGCCTGTCCACATCACTATCCGTTATCAGGAAAACCAGCGCGAACTGGCCACCAGCTCATGCAAAGCCGTTATCGCGCACTGGCCTCACAATCTACCACATCGCCCGCGTGACAGCGGGACAAGAACCAAGATTTCATCTCACTTGCCCCGAGCGAGCCGCCACGGCGCACATGCACGGCAGGGACTTAGTCAGACCACGCCGTCTAAACGGTAAAGTGTAAAGTGACATAGAGTGCGTGCGGGAAGCGACATGCGACCGTCGTTACGAAAGCCGCCCCCCATCATGCTGAAACCTCTGCGCCGAGGTTTGCGCACTGTTGTATGAAGGATTGCCGTTCATCAATTAGAACGGCCGGGGACCGACCGTTTGTCCTGTTCCTGTCTCGCTCCCGCGCTTTCATTTATCTGTGTTGGAGGTTGTGCATGTGGGGTTGGCAGGATATGCAGGGGCGGCGGTGATCATTTAATTTGTAGATGGACCTCGGGAGTGTCAGGTGGTGATTAGTGAGTCAAGGTGAGTGACGCGATGCAGGTACGAGTCAAGCGAGAGCGGGTTTGATGTTTCAGAATCTGGGGTGCGGGATGGGCGGCGAAGCGAGGGTGGTGCTGAGGCTGTGCTGTGCTGGCGATGGTGTTTGGGGTCGTTGCTAGGGGAGATGGCGGGATGGGTCTTTGGTTTGCTTCGATGTGGAGAAAGAAAGAGCAGCATGGAAATGAGGTGGGACAGGCTACCATGAGTTCTGATGTGGAATAAATTGTAGAGTTGAGAAGAAGAACATATCTTACGGTTGCCTTCAAATGTAGAGCTGTACCTAGTTGTACTGGAGGGATACACGTACCTTGTAGGTCCGAAATATTCCAGTCAGCGCTGCCATAGTTAACTTGGATGATGCGTGAACCCTCTACGTTCTTCAATATTCATTGAAGGTGTCAAACATTGGAGGACTCTCAATCATGAAATTCCTTCCTCAAATGCGCATCAGACTCGAGCATCGTGAAATGCGGTTAGTCTCGATTCGTGTTAGCGCGCTTTCGCGGTGCGGGCAAGTTGGCATCACCGAGCAGTGACGACTGGAGCTCCCCGCAACAGCTCAACAGCTCAACAGCTACCTCTACACCCCGAAACACGTCAACACGATCGCGAAGAAATATGGCAGACGAAGAGAAGGAGAAGGCGGAGAAGATCGCAGCGGCGAAGAAACGCGTATGTCCTCCCTCTATGTCTCATTACTTCCTGAAGGCTGCCCTTGCTCAGATACAGTTGGAAATGGTGTCTTTTCGTAGCCGGAGTCTGAAAAGGCCCACCACAGCTAAGACGAAACTGACACATACGCATAGTACGAACAATTGAAGAAGCAGAAGGCGAAGAAGGCGGGTGGAGGAAAGAAGAAGGGAGACAAGACTGAGGAACCCGCCGAAGCAGAAGCCTCGACTGAAACCCCGACCGAAGCAGCTTCTCCAGAAGAAAAAACCGAACAAGTCGCGCCAGAGCCCGTAGAAGCCACAAGCGTACCAGAGCCGCCAGCAGAGGACGATGACGAGCCCTCGGAGCTAGCTGTACCCAAGCCGTCGCACGGCCGCAAGCCATCAGTCGCCGTTGATTCGCGACAGCGCTCCGAATCTTTCTACCGCTCGGGAGCCGCTGGTGGACCTCTGTCCCCTGGAGGAGGGGTTGCAAGCGAGGTCTACCGGGAACAAGCACAGAGGATTGAGGAGCTCGAGAAGGAGAACAAGCGACTGGCAAGCGAAGTTGAAGAGAATCAGACCAGATGGAAGAAGGGCGAGGAAGAATTGGAGGAGCTGCGAGAAGGCAGAGGCGATGTTGCGCTCGCGGTGGAGAAAGGCAAGGAGGCTGACAAGCTGGTATGCATACGGGCACATTGGAGCGTATAACGAAATACTGACCCACGGTCTAGAAAGCCGAAGTCGAATCGCTCAAGAGACAACTTGCGCAGGCGCAAACGCAGAGCAACAAGTCCATACGCCGTACGTCGACCGCATCGCCTAGCCAAAGCGCATCCATCGACGATCTGAACGCGCAGGTCGCTTCGAAGTCCGCGACTATCGAGTCACTCGAGCTGGAGATATCGAACGTCAACAGACAACTGTCAGAGCAAACCAACAAGAACAACGAACTTCAGTCGAAGATTACAAGCCTAGAATCTGCAGTACAAAGGGCAGAACAAGAAGCTAGTTCGACCAAGACTGAGTTACAGGATCTCAAGGCGAGCCTGGACAAGGCTGGTGACCAGGCAGAGAAGGATGGCTCGGATCGCGACTCTGCGCAGACACGCATTGCCCAATTAGAAGCTGAGCTGGGCACGGCGAACCGCAAGGCCTCAGACTCAGTCTCGCGCGCTGAATTATTGGAGAAGAAGATCGAAACCCTTACACAACTACACCGCGACAATGACTCACGAAACCAAACGCGCCTGCAAGAGCACAAGAAGATCGAGCGCGAAGCGACCGAACTACGAACCCGCATAACAGGTCTCAGCAATGAGAACGCGCGTCTCCGGGAGGCAGAGCAGCGGCGTCGCAAGGCAGATCTCGGTTCTATCGAAGACTCTAGCGTACAGGAACTCTTGGATGAAGAGCGCGACCGTCTCCTCGCCAAAGTACGCGAACTTGAGGAAGAGAACTTCGAACTCCGCCGTGGCGTATGGCGCGATCGTCGCCGCGACATGCAACCTCCCATCGACGATCAAGCAGACGCCTCACACCCCTACAACAGCTCCAACAGCTTCGACGACGTCGACCTCTCCGGAGCGCCATCCCGTCAAGCCCTCCCCAACCGCACACACTCGTCCTTCCAAGACGTCATCCAGTCTGGCATATCGGCCTTCACCGGCCAGAACCCCGCGCATCGACGAAGCGACGCGGCGAGCAAGCCGAAACCGAGACAAGAGAGCCTGGGTAGTTTGGACGAGTTTGAGATCGATGAGGATGCGTTTAGGCAGGCGCAGGAAGAGGAGGGCAAGAAGAGGCTGGAGAGGGTTAGGGAGGTCAAGAGGGGGCTTGTGCAGTATAAGGGCTGGAGACCGGACTTCGTGGATGTCAGAGTGGGAATGGGTGGTGTCTTTGAGATATAAGCACCAGATCTCGAAAATACAGTTATCGAGCTTATGTGTGATCGAGACTTCGGTCGGCTCTAGGAGAAATGCAGACATGAATAACATGACCGGCGCTTTTGAAATGATGTATCAAGGATATGACGTGCGTTATCTTAAGACTCCGCAGCACCGAAGGACAATACATGGCCGTCCATGAAACGAGTTTTGTTCATTCAATCGCTCGTGTAGACCCTTCTCTCGACTCTCCTCTCCATGAAATGCCTTGTTAGTCATTTCTGGAGACATCGTCCCGGAACCCACTGTTTTTGGGATAAAAAGCAAGGTGGTGTGGTATTTAAGACTCGAAGAAACAGGGCTTTATATACACGTTTGGATATCCGAAACGGAGCTTGCATGTGGGCCTTCGTCTTCTACTGACAGAATCACAAACAGTTCTCCTGGACTTTTCACGAAGCTGCTCACTCTCCATGCATCTTCTCTTGTTTGTTTTGGTTCCACAGCACACACCGGAGCGGAAGACATGGCCTTTTCGAACATGCTTTTTTAGGTCCCGTTGGCCATGTGGAAGTCGATTGCCGTTTTGGAAGAAAGTTGGTCCTTTTTTTTCGCATGGAAGTATTCTAGACTGACTTTAGTATCCATGATAAGCCCTAAAATGGCTTTTTGAAAACTCTTCTCCGCGGTCATGGCGTTTGCGTGTTGCGATTTTGTTTGTTGGGAAGAGGGACGGTTGGAAGAAGGCAGGTATGAGCGATGCCAAAGCCCGCCAGGACATCACCAGGAATCACAACGTTTTTGATGGACAAGCGAAAAGATGTGTTGATGAAGTGAGAGGAAAGAGTGCAGGTCGGAGAGGTTTATATACTCAGCAGCCGCCAAGCGAGCGCCATGGAAGACGGACTTGCTGAGTTTTGATAGTAAAGAACTCCAGATGTCCTCAATCAGAGCATGCCATAGTCTTTCTGAGTTTTTGGGCCGCTTTTCCTTTAACAGGTGAGCTATCGCGTCTGGTCTCCGTCTCCATAAAAGATAGGTTGGTTATACTTTGGAAGCAGGAGGAAGCACATGGGCGCTCATAGATGTCTTTTTTTCTTTCACAAACATCGTAGATGTTGTTCAATAGTTTTGGTGTAGTAAAGGGTAGAAGGGGTGTCTAGAATCAAAGTAGGAGGAAGCCGAGGCGATTTATATATGTGATCGCAACAGTATAGCATAAAGATATAATTTAGTTCTAATGTTTCTTTCGTAGGCGAGGACATGTTGCCAATCTGCACAAGCTTTCTCTTATCTCTGGAGAAAATCATGCACATTCATGTTCTCTCCGCAACCTGGCAAAGGCATAAAGGCTATTGCATGAAGACTCTGTTTTGGCAGAAATTTGATGTCATAGAGAATCTTAGAGACAGGAGAAACTTCCACGTGTAGATCTTCTGGAAAAGTTTTGTTTTCCCAGAAACATGACAAAGAGGTTCGGCGGTTTTGGAGTAGCGATTGAGAGCAGAAACCCCCATCTCCAAGATGTATTCGCGAGGAAATCGATGCCCCTTTATATGACTATGGCTGCTCCGCTAATCGATGCAAGTATATGCTTCGTATTGGTCAGCGTTCTGACCTTCGAGCACTGCATGCTGTGGGTATGGGCAAAGCCTCCTTGTCCTGTTACTTCCATCTGAAGGCTCCGTGGCCAGAACGAACTCAGGAGCTACACCATCCTCTACCCATGGAATGAGAGCTTCGAGAGAGTGGTATTTTCCAGGAACCTGAGGATAACTAGTAGCGGGGCCGCAGTGACCACCACCCGGGACCATGAACAAGCGCCAGAAATCATTAAGTTGTGTCTCGCCGTAGATGGCTTTCGCTTCGTTGTGCTGATCGATAGGCCAAGTAGGCGCGTTAAAAGGGTCAGCCCAGCCTATCCGCGTAAGTCTGATTTCGCGCTTGTGTAGATATGGTGGATGACAAACCTTGCGATGCGACAAGTTTTCCACCTCGAGCTCTGAATGCATCGAGTCGTGGGGATGTTGCAGTGATTAAAGGACCTGCAACCTTGTCCACAGTCTTGACATCGTTCTGGAAGTCGAAAGTAGTGTAATCGTAGCTCAAGTTCTTGAAGACAAGGTTCTGCAATATAGGTACTGTATACGCGGTGTAGAGAGTTTCTTCCAGCAGAAGCCATTCGGATTCCGATCCCTTTGCAAACCCGGGGTATACATCGGCCCCAGGTCCAGCGTAGAACGCCTCAAAAGTGGCAAGCTGCGTCTGATTCAGACATGTCGTTCTGTTATTCTCAACTTGAGCCTGCCCGGACCGGCATAGTAGTGATGTAATTTCGAAGTCGCACTTGCTTGGATCGTCGATCACTCCGTCTTTCACGCCATCAATGTCATCACACTTCTCCAGTGCTGCATCCCTTGCAAACGTGAGTACTTCCTGGGCCAGAAATGCACCAGGCTTCCGTGCGTGAAGGCCGTTCCACAGAAACGAAAGAATGAGGTGCGAGTACCAGTTGCCGGCACTTCCTGCAACGATACCATCGAAGATATCGGGATGGTACTGAGCCAGTGCATATCCTTGAGCACCACCTGTAGAACAGCCTGAGAAGTAGGATTTCCGTGGCGGGTTTCGGAAGAACGTCGCTGTGATGGCTTTTGCTGGTACAGTGAACATGGCGATCGAATCCCGGATCCACGCTGCGGTCTGGGCATATGAGTGAAGGAATGGAACATAGCTTCCTGGCTCGGAGACGCCGTTCTCGGAAACCAAATGTCCAGTGTCACACCTTGAGGCCTATAAGTTAGCTCAACATGGCAGGATACAGAGGGGGCAAGAACAGACCCTCCAACAGCGAAGCCAGAGTTGAGATTTGTGGCCATTGCCTGGTAATCTATCACGCCTGCAAGTCCGCCATTGCCTTCATGATGATGTCAGCAACCACGAGACACAAGCACTGATTTGACTGATTCAATACGTACCGACAGACAAATAGCGCCCATTGTAATTTTCGTTTTCGGGTAGCCAGACTTCAAAATTTAGTGTGTTGTTTGGACCATATGGCATGAGTCCAATAACACGGCAAAAGGAAGCTGTATTCGTCTCCGTGATGTTTTGAGCAGCCACAGCTGTTATATTTGCAACTCCGCCAATGTTTACACGACTGGAGCTGACGACGTAGTCCACACCGTGTCGTAACGAAGTGCAACTGTCATGGTCCACAGGGCTCGAAAGTGCTGCCGCTAATAACGCGGCAAACGTGAGCTGTGTGTAAGCAAAGTACAGCATGTCAGAGACTTCAGGATGGTAAGAAGGAGTGAAGCGATCGTTTACGATAACACGCGAAGTATTTGTTCTTCATGGCGCGTGGTTCTCGGCCCGATCGTAACTTCCGTAAAATGTCAACACGCACAAGCGTCGGTGACGATCACCGATAGCTTCATCAACGAGTCAGTAGTTTACTGCAATGAATTTGCAAAATCTACCGAGCAAGGGTCTGGTCATTGTGGACGGCTCAGGATGCGGAGTGGTTTGCGGGGTGGATCGGGCGGGCTGACCGACGTGGAGAAAAGACAACCTTGGAATCGGCGACGGGCGACCGAGCCCGAGGAGGAGCTAGACTAGATTGGGTGCATGTCTGATGCCCGACTGATAGCTTCCGGTACAACAGAGACCCGAATTCTGCCTGCAGTATGCTTGTTGATTCTTATTCTAGACACCCAAGGTGCCACAGCTAGATTTTGCATACAATATCTGTATCCTGCGACAATCATGTCCCGATGATTGGGAACTGAAGAAGCGTGATCAGGTAAAAAAGCGGTGCTTATATACTAGCAGCATTAGAGAGTAGCTTGGACTTCCTGCAGCGACTGTACTCTCCTCGCTCGCATCAAATTGGTATTCGCGGCATTTGAATACACTAAATTTGACTTCGTGCCGCCTTTGCTATGAGTGTGTTATGCTGATGATTTTGGAAACTGTTCGAGAGAAAGCAAAGCAGATTTCTTATCAAACATTCTACTCTTTGTTGAAAGACATACGTTTCTTTGTTGCATGTTTTAGTTTTTTTTGAAGATGCGGTAGTTTTCAGGAAGAAGAAGTGGGCAAGTTCGACGTTGGGCTTATATATTCGCGCTGAAGTAGCACATAAGACGTTGTTGTCGATATTGTTTGGTTACAGTCTACATGTTATAAATATAAAATGCTCCGTGTTTTGCACTGGGGTGCTGATATAATGGTATTATAGGAGTAAGGAGATAAAGCTATGAAGTCGAAGAAAAGAAGGCAAAGCTATTAGGTGTCGCTCGTGCCTCTTTGGGCGGAGACATTTGGACACCGTCCAACGATTTTGAAGTGCTGGCTAGACAGATTGTAGTAAGACAAGAGAAGGCGAGGGAAGGCTGGTATATTTATAAGTGGGAGGACGGAAAGACATCTGGTGGCACTATGTATCTTTTTGTGTGCTAGGGAACCATTGTCTTTCATCTCCCCATGGCGTATTCGTTCGATGGTTTTGAATAGGCTCGGTTGAGAGAGAGCGGAAAGAGGGAACAGCCAGAGACATAATCTTTTGGTTCTGGGATTTCAGAAACATAACTCGACCAGTTCTAGTTTTTGATAAAGCTAAGACCTGGTGTGTTGGGGAAGGAAGAAGAGCAGGCAGCAGGGAGGCATTGATATGCTCTAGCCCAGCCCACAGTCATTCGGGGATCATTGCCCACTTTAGTTAATCGGATAGAAACTCCGTATCTCAGCGACAAAACTCGCCATCGGCTCGACGGTTGATTCTTTTGATCAAGATCGGGGCAGAAAAGGACAAGCTCGGCAGGTGTTCGACCGTAGAATTTTGAGAGCAAGACCTGAGCAGACATATCTGGTGGAGGGTTTATTATGTGTAGCTTTAAGACGGCTACTTCATTAGAGTAAAGACCGCGGAATCTTTCTCACACACATAAAATTTTAATGGCTGTTTTTTGTAAAGGAACGCTTTGAGTGTGTTGAAACTGAAGAGGAAGTAAAGAGGAAAGAGCCGCGCAAGGAAGTGCATTATATACCCATACCGACGGGCACAGTAATAAGTCATATCCTGCCTTTTAGAACATACATGGGTTCTTGTTATCTTTTTATGCTATAAAGGTAGAACGCAGCTCGATTGCTTTCGCGATGTTAAGCGACAAAAGGGCTGGATGCTATGTAGCAAACCACAGCCTTTGACGCGACATCGATTAGACCCTGCATCACTTCTGTACGCGGATCTTATTCTGAAATCACCGTCACGTCGGCGTAGACTTTTGGTCAAATCATCGAATGCCATCAGGATATATTTGGAGGAAAGAGATCTCGAGGAACATGAAAGATTTTCTCTGCCGTTTTGAGACAAAGTGCAGTGCCGTGTGTGTAAAGAAGAACAGAGGAAGGGCGTCGAGAGGACGTTTATATATGTCATCTCGGAAGTGCCGTGCTCCACTCACATGACACCCCTTCATTCATTTTTAGGACCTCGTTATCTCAACAAGGCAGAAAGGCCACATAGGTTGACTTGATTGCGTTTTTGAACGAATCTTCCAGCCATAAAATCGTCAATGTACGCTTTTTTAGTGTTACGCAAACCCACCGCAGACTCCAGACATACCCACTGGTGTTCTCGTTTTGATTGCGTTCTCAGACAGATACTCGCAGCATGTCTACTTATTTTCGAATTTTCTGTACCATATCTTGGCAAATATCCATTTTTGGATGTCGCAAGCCAGATGTTTGGAGAAAGAAAGAAGAGAGAAGAAGCATGAGAACCATTCTAGTGTGTTTATAGCGAGCCCATGTTCAGAGGATGTGTGAGCTTTCTGCGCCTGCGCAACATCGGGCTTCCATGTTGGCTTTTTCTTTGGATATTTGCATCGCCGCAAGTACTCGCAGGAGGCACATGGTATGGATGACACGGATTCTAGAAACGATCTTCCCATCGAGGAAGCGACATGGTAGTTTTGTTGGGGGATCTACCTCGGAGCAGACCACACATGTATCGGCAAGCTTGTGGTTTTGGAAGAGCTCAATGCGTTTTTGGTTCTGAGATGTAAAGCGAAGAGATGGTGTGAGATATCGAGAGTAGAAAACTCCCGATGCTTCTTATGTATGAGCCCAGATGACCCTTTAGAGTGTTCTAGGAACTTTGAAGTTTTTGTAGAATCGGAATGGAAGCCGTCCACATTCGCTCATTGTATGGCATTTTCGTGGTCGCCACAAACACGTCGAATTTAGTCTTCCACGTTTTTGAAGAGCAAAAGGAAGACGTGAAGACATACGATCAAACCCTGTATTTTTGAACACGGTAGGAACTGTGTTTTCGAGAAGCTGAGAATGTGGAGTCTCGGAGGATGGCACGACAACATGGTAGAACTCAAGCTCGTTTTCGTTTTAAAGGCCAAGACCACGCCGAAGGCCATGTGAACTTCTTTGTCGGATTTGTTTTAGAAAAACGTAAAATGAATTGCGATAGTAAGAGAGAGAAGAAGAAGAAGAAGAAGAAGAAGAAGAAGAAGAAGAAGGAAAACGAACAATTTGTATGCGAATTCCAAACTGCCAAGTCATCGTTTTTGTGGAGGGCTGTATTTCGTACAAGGTAAGAACGTGATACAAACCAAATACGGTGAGCATGATGGAAATTTGTATAGAAAGATAGTAGGAGGGATAGACTTGCGCAGGTAAGTTGCGCTCCGATCAAATGGTTATACATGTGATGATCAAACATCGAGTAGGCTGCGCAAAGTAGCATAAGCGAGATTCGGACGAAGAAGCGAAAGAGAGGAACTCAAAGTCAGGACGATACAGCTGTATCTTCCTTCTACTGTCGTATGTACGACGGAGCAGTCATCGCCCGTTATTCGAAGCGCGTCGTCATCTAAGCTCTCCAAGCTCTCCAAGCTCTTCTACACTTCCCACTCACACCACCTCCACAACACTAGTCCCCAAAGAAACGCGATAAAGTCCCGAAGATCTTCGCAAGCCCTCCAGATCGCAAGGTGGGAGAGCAACTCGGTACGTGATGCGAGCGGCCAGTTCCGCACCCAGCGCCATGCCGTCATACCATCACCTGCCGCCCCGACAGCGATCTATCAGGCCTAGCCTTCACACCCCAGATCGAAACCCTATCTCTCGCCCGAACATCGGTATACACATTCTCGCATGCATGCCAGATACCGGTCGTGTGAAACTGGAAAAGGGCTGCGCAAAAAAGGACTTGGTGTTGCGTCAGCAGGCTGCGTAACATTATGCAGGTCATACAACAGCATGCAGGAGCTGCGAACGGTATCCCGTAACCGGATTGCCTGTTGCCGTGAAGAGTCCTTTCTTGACTTGCCACACGATGCAAGTATAGGTTGTAGCCAAAATACCTCGGAGTAAGTATCCGCGTCGTAACGAATTCCCGTTCGCAATAGGAGGCGCGGAGCTGGACGCCGTGACGTTACATAGCCACCGTGATCGATCCACTTAGTAGGTTCGCGGATGGCTAGTAGCCTGTTCATCTGCCGCTGTTGAGCCGTGGGCTTCTTTTCCTGGTATAGATGGGTGGATCTTGTGTGGAGAACTCTGGGGCGCGGAGGCAAAGGGTTTTTCCCGGCGGCGTGGGATGTTGGGATGCGGGATGAGAAAATAGGCATCGCCGTGAAGGAATCCTCATTCACGTGAGGCTGAACTTGTTTCTGGAAGAAGATGAGGCGACCGCAAATAGCCGAAAGGATGCGTAAAGTTAAACGGTGCTTACGCAACTTAATGGGAGAATAAAGCCAAAAGACGGACTCAACAGGTAAGAGGACGTGTCAAGCCACAGGGTCGGGAATGACAGCTAGGATAGACCCTAGATCTCGAGTCGCATTTACCTGGGATAGCTTGCGACGAACCGCTGAGCTTCGCTTCATCTGCATGCTGCAGCAGGTTTGCATTCGAAAGAACAGCCACCCTTACTCCCGAGTGTGGACAAACGCCTCGAAATCGTAATAGTGTACTCCTACGGCCTCAACACATCATGTTGAAGATGTCGCGGAGCCGGGTGAGCGAAAGACCGAAAGCTTACCATAATCGGAGGTGTCACAGGAACAACAACTCGGGGACTTAACAGGTAGTATCGGCTACCGCGGAAGACGTCTAGTTCGACCTATCGGGAGATGGCAATGAAAGCCAAGCGGTAGGTGATAATCGACTACGGTGCAAAGTACCGCAGCTCCTGCAGGATCGTGTCGCTGTGCGCATGACGTCGGGTCTGACTCTTTGACAACTCAATCGAAAGGGTTGAGCGTCAAGTAGTCGCTCGCGCTTAGGGTCACAGGTACAGAGCTCTAGGTGGCGAAGCAGCAGTGCATCCTAGGATGCGGCGAGGTACGTACCAAGCGTGCACGTGAACTGCAGACTAGAATCCTAGCGTCGCTTCAAATCGTGTGTCAAGCCCCACCTGGTCTAGCTTCTCCTGGAGCTATACAGTGGGTAGACTGCTGGGCGTCAGCAATGCTGCGTTATATTTGGGCGCTCAACGTCGAGGCTCAAACGACTGCAGTAATATGGGGTGATCTTTCGACTGCGTTAAGCGAACTAGAACAAGAGAGGCATTGCGCCTAAGGCAAAATACGTAGTGCCGTTACCTTGCGTGCAATTGAGTGGAACACCATGCTTTTGCGTTGCGTGCACGCTGATCTGTTGTGGGCTTGTGTTTGTGATGCTTCCAGACTCAGCTTTCGCACCTGTTACTCCGAACAGCTCCCAGTGCGGATGGCAACGGAAAACGGCTCATACGTGCCTTATGCAGGTGTGTGATAGGTGGAGCTGCAGGGCGCAACACCGCTGGCGGTTCGCAGTCGTCGAGATGAAGTACGAGGGGCAATTGTCTGGGGAGTGCGCCGGGATAACCTTATCGGGTTAGGCGTGCGTCATCGGCTCGAGCGGGCTTGAAGCGAACGGGAAGAAGCATACGCTCGTCATTAGATATCTGCATGGTCGGTCGGCATCGTGTTCGCGACCGTGCTGTAGACTCGTCCCGATGGTTGCACAAAGGAAGCACGTCATGCTGCACGAGCAGTCCAACGTGTCGTCGTTACGCGGCCGCGAGAATGCTGCTCGGTGGTAAGACGTGCATTGGCAGATGCGAACATGGCAAATTTGGTCCCTACACAAGCTATCGCGTGGTGGTTATTTGCTCTCCTCGCACCAATCGCGACGGATTGTATAAATCCTAAAGTTTCATGCCATGGCCAAGCCACCTGGGATTGTCGGCAGAAGTGACAGGCGCGCCATGCAAATTATTTCGCCGGGGAATTTATCGATCATCGATACTTGCGTTTGGCGAGCAATCTGGTGAGATGTCAGAAAGTATAGACAAGGACCGGGATGCAGATCGAGTGGTATGTGCGTTGACAACTGCATTTGCATAGACGATCTTAAGTGGCCCAGCGAACATTTACAGCCACGATCAGCAGTAGGAAGTCGAAAGCTGCTCCTGCTCGTTCGATACATCTTCTACAGTGCTTCGATTGACGTAGATGGCTTTGGTGTCGCTGAAGGATTGCTCCGTGGCTCCACCATGTGGCCGTTCGATTGTAGATCTGCCACGAGCTTACTGTGGTCGTGCACCAGCAGCCGATCTTCATTGCCACAAAGCGCAACGTCACTGGCTAGGGTCTCTTGCAATACTTCAACTGCGAGATAGCAGCATGGTCATAGCCGAAGTTTGAATTTGGCAATGCAGACCCGACTGGCGAAGCAGCATGATGCTTAAGCCGAAGCGAGCGTAGCGGGAGGCCGAAAAGACGATAGTAGCCTGACGATGCCGTCATGCGCGGTGGATGCTCCAGTACGCGTAGGAGGGCGACGCGACAGACCGAGAACGTCAGGGTCCTGGGCTGCCGAAGGTCAGGTGCAGTAGTATACCCACCGCGGCCTGCGGAATGAGACAGGGCGTGAGAGATTTTTGTCGTCGCTGCCATCGGCTCATTCCACATCCGCTGCTACGATGGGGCAACTGTGGTTCGCGACGTTGCAGTACCGGTTCTCGCAGCAAGCGCATGTACTCAACAGACGGCCAAAGACGACGGGATCAACGCTGCGAGGCGGTGATAGGTGGGCGGGTCGAGCAGCAGCGACAAGGGCTAGGACGACGGCGATGGGAACTTTGCAGGCCGTGGTCATGCGGCGCTATGTGGCATGGGTCTCTGGGCAGTCCATGCTTTACCCCAGATCTCGAAGCAGGCTAGCCGCCTTTGCTGCCGCCGTCCAAGCTCTGCAGGCTCGACCTTGGATTTCCTGGGGAAGTTTGCAGGTGTTGCAGCCCTCACCGATGTCAGCGCAAGCAGCTATCCGCCTGTGTAAAAGCAATTGAAGTCGCCCGGCGGTGCTGAGTGGCGCGCTGGCGGCATAGCGTGCTGTCAGTAGTTGCCCGTTCCTATAGTTAGGCGCTTGACGGCCGCAGCTGCATGGGCCGTGTATGCGAGGCCCATTGTTGTGCGCGCATCTTGCAGCACCCAGCATCGTTCGCCAGTATCGGTGACAGGCTGCTGAAACTCGCTCTCGGAAGCCCGAGCATGGTCGTGCCTCTAGACCCGTGCGGTACTCTGGGTATCCTCAGGGACGAGTAGCTCTCTCGCCAATTAATATGCAACCGGCAGGCCATTGGAGCTCCACAATCTATCTCCGCCAGGCGAAATGAAGCCGCCCCAGTCGGGAGCATGTTATAGATGCTGCGGCGTGCTCTTCGAGGTCGATTCCACTAATAACGTAGGTGGGTGGTGTGCAGTGTACAGTACTGCAGCGCAGACGATTGCTACAGGGAGCCGAGGCCATAGCTGTGGGCCCCTGGCGCAGTTGCTGCAGCCAAGCCGCGAGTAGTCCTGAAGGCGACGCTGCTGATCGCAGACGCCCATCGCTGCCTCTTCAGACGCGCAGGTAGAGGCGAGGGCATCGCAACGGAAGTACTCCGGACAGGACCCCTGCGCCAGAATGGCCGTTTGCTGGGGGCTCCACTTGGGAGAAGCCCTGGTGCTTGCAGGCCCGTCGAAGAACCTGGGGCGCTGGCCAGTTGCATGACACACTCGCCGCCTAGCTCCAAAGCTTTACGAGCCGTGAAGTCTGGGGATCTGCTTACAATTCGACGAGGCCGCCGTCGCCGTCGCTGTGCCTGATCTCGACACCTCCAGCTCCCTCGCCACAGCTCGACCGCGTGCGACTTGCTCTGCGTGCTTCCTGACTCTCGCTGCTCGTTGTAATAGCTATCGTCCCGCGAACCTTGGCCCGTGCCCGATTCCCCAGACTCGGCCTGCCCTCTGCACCTCCGACCAATCGTTGTGTCGTCGCCCAATTGCTCTGCCCGGGACCGAAGGTTGTGTCTGCGCTGTAATCTAGCCTTTTGGGCCGTACCAGCCAAAAGCCGCCGGCGCCTCCAGCAAGCACCGCTGGTACAGACGCTTACATCAAGGCTGGACCCTCGTGCTCAACCAGCTCCACCATCTGCCACTGCCTCTGCTACTGCTGACCACAGGCCTCCCGCACTGGCTTCACGCTCTCCGGGACCAGCGGTAGACACGTACGCACGCCGACCTATGTACGGACCGATCCAACTACATCACACGTCCGTTTTCCTGGTACCTTTCTGCCCTCAGCGTAGGCTTGCTCTTGTTGCGAGCCCTTGCCAGGTACCCAGCTTGCCTACCTCCGACCACTTCGACCAAGGTCCCCTGCAGCTATCAATTGGCTTTTGCTGTACATTAGCATTGTCATCCCAAGATCCAATTCCATCTTGATATCCCACTGCTACGAGCTGCGGCCACGAGACGCTGCGTAAACAAGCTCTTAGACGCTCTTTCCACCTTAGAGGCCTATACAAGGTACTTTCGTCTGCTCCAGCTGGTCGTACCTCATCATTCGCTGACATTTGTGTGTGTTGGCAGCCTCTGATTCAGTAGATTCTTTGTTTACTCCGAGAGCTTGCTGCCCCGCGAGCTGCAACGAGCTCGACCCAAGACAGCTATCATTGCAGTACCATCAGTAGTCCGCTTCCAGTCACCTTGAGGCGGGTGTATTTTCGACTCGATTGTGGACGTGATTGGTGTTTTGCCAATCCGATACATGATCATGGCGAAAGTGGAAAGCACGAGCCTGCCAGGCCCCGCGACCTCGCCGGGCGACGACTCCAACGGTTCAGGCAGCGCCAGCAACTGTGAGTAGGAGCGACCGCCACACAACACCATGATAGCTGACAAAGATTGCTAATCGCAGCTTCCGCATCTACAGCCAAGCCCGCAACCTCGCCCACCGTCCAGACCTTCCCTCCGCCCAAGAACGACAAGCCCCGGCCGCACGTATGCGCGACTTGCACACGCTCATTCGCGCGCCTAGAGCACCTCAAGCGCCACGAACGATCCCACACAAAAGAGAAGCCCTTTGAGTGCCCCCAGTGTACGAGATGCTTCGCGCGACGCGACCTCCTCCTACGTCACCAGCAGAAGCTCCACCAACAAGGCGCGTCCAACACAAGACCCCGCAATGGACGTAGGGAAAGCACGACCGGCCTGCCGCCCAACCCTGCCGCGCGAGTACGCAAGAACTCAGTCTCAAGCAATGCGGGCGGCGCCAAGGGCAATGTCATGAGGCCACGCGCAAACACCATCAGTCACATCGACCCGACCGCCCTCAACAGCTTTCTCGCCACACATGGAACTTCGATAGCTGGCGGCAGGGGAGGCCACCCAGGTCATTCACAGCATTCGAGCCTATCGGGGATTAGTCAGTTCGACTACAGGGGCATGTCGACAGCTGCCGGCAACCATGGCCAGTCTCACGGTCTACCAAGACTAGACACCCATATGGGATTCGGTATGGGTGGCGGTCTTCGCACGGCTCCCATTCCAGGCATGGCTGGCTCTGATGACCGTGAGCTCGAGAAGTTCTTCGGCTCCTCAGCAGCTTCTACCATTAACCCGAACCAGCTGCACCACTTCAACGCAGGCATCGCACTTCCACAATCGCCCTTCAAGCAATTCGCTAATCCCTTCGCCGGCAACAATCCTATTGAGGAAGACGATTTCGGCTGGGGTATGGGCATCGACAGCAACATGGTCTTCACCGGAGCCAACGAGTCGGCTCTTGACGGCTCCTCGCCATCGGCCATCAGCACTGCGAGTCAGGGTGCTTTCAACGACATGATGCTGGATGGCTCAAGCCAACAAAACTCAGCAGCCATGTGGCACAACCCTCTAGTTGCGCACACCAGCATCAACCCAACCGCCTTCACACTCGATGCCATGGCTCCGGTCTTCCCTGAGCTTATGATGAACCACAACACTTCACAAGAGCTAGGCGATCAGGGTGTTCAGAACGATTTCTACTCGTCTACTCCACCTCCTTTAGTGGCCATGAGCCCTTCAGCTGGTATACCCGGTATGCCGAATCAGTACTTTCAGACGCCCATGACTTTCGCTTCTGATGCCCGCAGCATATCATCTTCCTCATTCAACGGCAGCGCAAGGCACAGTTCTGTCTCATCATTTTCCACTGAAACCATTACAGACTCTACGCGGCAGGCTATGATGTTCAACTTGACTCAAGCCATGGGCTACGGTCATGGAGCTCAACGGAGATTCTCGCAACCCGCAGTCAGCTCGCCTCTGTCCAATGGTACCGGGAAACCTTCAGTCCAGGCTGGTATACTCCCTAGCACTGTCGACATCCAGCGCTACGTCAATGCATACATCCACTACTTCCACCCGCACTTACCTTTCTTGCACATCCCCACACTTTCTTTTGATACCCCGGCGTACACATACCAACTTCGATCGGCCGGAAACTACAGCCAAGATACCATGGTTGGTGGCGGTGGCTGTCTCATCCTTGCCATGGCCGCGATAGGTGCTCTGTACGAATATGAGCAGAATGTCGCAAAAGAATTGTTTGAGGCTGCGAAGAAGCTGATTTTATTCTACCTTGATGAGCGCCGCAAAGCTGGACTCTCGGCTGTCAACGGGTCGAATGCCGCAAACGACCACATCAACAAACCACCACTCTGGTTAGTGCAAGCTATGTTGCTCAACCTCATCTTCGGTCACAGCTGTGGCGATAGACAGGCCGCTGAGGTTGCGAGCACCCATTGCGCAGCACTTGTAAGCCTTGCTAAAGCTGCTGGCTTGGATAAGCCAACCGCTCCAGAGCAGACTTCTTCCAGTCCACCCAATCATACTAATGGCGACAATGTGGATATGTCCGACGAATCGAGCTCGCAGTTTGGCCAACATGCAGATAGTGTGGACGAGCACGCTCAGTGGATTCAGTGGAAGAAGATCGAAGAGCGTAAGAGGACTTACTTTGCCATCTTCTCCATGTCGAGTCTGCTTGTATCCGCTTACGCGCATTCTCCACGCATACTGAACTCAGAGATACATCTAGACCTACCCTGCGAAGAGGATCTGTGGTCTGTTGACAGCCCTCAGACGTGGGTGGCTATGGGCGGACCAATGATCGCTCAGCAACGCGGTTTGTCTTTCATCTCGGCCATGACATACCTTCTCGAAGCCAGTTCACGGAATACCACCTCACGGATGCGGAACTCCTACCCCCAGGCATTCGCAGGCGGGCAGCCAATGAACGGACCCTCTGAGAGCGACATCCGGCCCAGCACATTCGGTTGCTATGTGCTGATCAATGCCATGCACGTTTACATTTGGGAAACGCGGAACAGACACAACGGTCGCTTGTGGAAGGCCCAGGAGACAGAGGCCATGCATGCTCAGGTGGAGCCCGCTCTCAAGGCCTGGCAAGTCGCGTGGAGAGCCAACCCGAACCACAGTATTGAGCGCCCCAGTCCGTTCGGTCCTCTTTCCGCCGACTGTATCCCACTACTAGATTTGGCCTATGTCAGGCTCTTCGTCAACCTTGGTCGCGCGAAGGAGCTCCTGTGGCAGCGCGATTTTGACGGCATGGCGAACGAACTCGCCAGAGGCATTGACATCGTCGGCCAAGCAGACGGGACACCTGAGAGGTTTGCATCGATGGATCTCAACTCAGGTTCTCCAGGCCAAATGGGCTCACAGGACCACGTCAGTCCCGGAAATGCGGCAAACGGTTTCTCCAACTCCCAGTCGTCCAAACGCGAAAGGCATCTCCGAAAGGCCGCTTTCTACGCTGCTGACTCCCTTTCCATGGCAGACAAACTGGGTGCCTCGTACGCTGACTTCACGGCTCGGGAGCTTCCCAACTCATCCGCGTTGTGCACTTTCGATTGCGCTCAGGTCCTTGCTGAATGGGTTGCAACTGTGCAAGACCGTGTTGGCCGTCATATGGGCGTGCTCGGTAGAGATGAGATTGATTTTGCGGGCGTGCCAGCTGTTGTACTCCTTGAAGAGGAAGACATTAAGCTGCTACAGAAGATCTCTGATATTCTCCACCATGCTGATATGAAGCTGGCTTACGACATATCGTCCAACAACCTACCGATGCTGGGTAGTCTTTCCAACCTCGGACATTGCGGTTACGGAACCAAGTTGCTGATGGTGACGGCTTACATGCTGTCAAAGGCCGCTGTCTGGCCTGGTGAGTCTGCCTGCTCAAAACCTGTACAACGTCTGCTAATATGACAGTAGTAACCCATGTCCAAGCTCGTGCACTCGAGGCGCATGCCCAGCACATCAGTCAACGAGCAGAAAACTCGCTTCATATCCAGTAACCATCTGCCTTCTTCGAGCTTGTACAGTACTAGACTTCTTCGGCTGTCGATATGCCCACTGCACCGTGTGTGCCTCTCGGATACCCTTTTTTACACACATTTTCCATCGGGTTACGACATTCCCAAACAACGACCACACCCTCATGCGTTGATGGACTTTCTTGTACAGCTTGCTTCGTTGATCTGGATCAGACGCACTGCTTCGGTCGCTTAGCGACAGCTAGAGCACCGCGTCTTCGAGGTACATATTATTCCGGTGTGGATGGTTCCAGAGATACGTGGTGTCACCATCCGTCTGCTCACCCTTGACGACATCGCTGCCAATACTACTCCTGTTTTTGTCATTTCAGGCGTTAGTGACAGGACGCAGGGCGTTCCTTCTCATCTTGATTTTCCGGGTTTTATTAGGAATTTGTACACATGGCGCTACGTATCGAGGCACATTGCTGGTGAGCAATTGTGTCTGACCCGGCGGTGGCTGTAACACGCGCAGAGTAAGATGATACTACGAACAATCCTTTACGACAACCTGGGTATAGGGTATGGGCGGCGCAAATGGGACAATGGGTCAAAAAGTCAATTTTGATCACGCAGCTAGGGAATACCTGCATCACGAATGAAAACTCTACCACCCCAAACTCCATTATGCCTTGTGACTCCGCGATGTGCCGCTGATACTTCAACCGCCTTCTCCGGTGCAACCCCTACAATGAGATTCAGGTTCACCAAGCATTCTGATTCGCTCGGTGTACTGTGTCACCATCTTAGCGGGTGGCTTACCACTGCGGCGTTGTTCTCGAACCAAGCAGCGGCGACGCCGTTTTGAACCTAAAGATAGCCAAAAGCCACCTGAGCAAGATCAAGATCTGGACCCTTCAACGAAATGAGATCTAACTACCAAAAGACATATTGCGTGACTTGGACATGTCCTCATCTCCGCGCACATCTACACGGTAGACTACACCACAAGAAGCCCCCAACCAATCCGCTATCTCGATGACCAACACCTCGATGCTCACACTACCCCAGCGCCCAGCCCAAGCTACACTAAGCCTCACAGCCTCACTCCTCTAACCCAAACACACCACCCAGCGCCGCCAAGCTCCTACGCGTAAAACCACTCGTACGCAGATCGAAGCACTAACGCACTAACCCAAATGCAACCACACACCACGTGTACATACGAGCGTGCGAGTCTCCATCCTTCCCCCGGATGCGCTCGGATGACATGGAACACGGCCGGCACCATTGGCGGCGATGCAGCCGGTGCGCCAGCCGCAAAAAAAAACGTGTACGGTGTCGGAGGTAACTCCGGCGTGATCATGGGATTGGGTATGCGCATGGGAATAGTGCGGACATGACATGGAGGGACGGCGCAGGGTACCGGGTCAATCAAGGATAGTGGGCAGGGTCAGGGTCAGGGTGGGCTGGGGAAGGAGGGATCGGGGGAGTGTTGCTGTTCCTGGATTTGAGAGGATGGGGGATTGATTGGGGTGAGAGGCCGGTCTTGGGTTGTGTTGCGTTTTGAGTATGTTGAGCGATGGTGTTGGGGGTGGTAGGGCCGATGATGTGAGATGGGGGTGAGGCTGAGAGTGAGGTTGCGATTGGGTGAGGGTGGAGGAGTAGGAATATGTGGACGGGAATTGGAGTCTGGTATGCGATATGGAGTGTGTTTGTGGTGTTTACTGTGAGAGCGCGGTACTTTCTATGCGGCGACAGCATGGACTTGTTGTGCAAGAGACTCGAGTATGTGTCGGCTACAAAGTCTTACCGTAACCTCAGTCCTCTGAACCCGCAGCCCTGATTATCCTCCGTCTACGGATTCTACGTGGGCAGAAAAAACGAGATGTAAGGCTGTCATTCGCGACTACCTGCCATGCGCACGCGAAGAGCTGGCTGCGACGCGTTGATTGGCTAGATTCGGAGCTTGGGTCGCGTACACCTTCCGCTACAGATCGCTCTTTCACGTCAACCACATTCGCGTCTCTGTTTCAACACATGGCCTATTTATCATCACACTCGATTCACAGAAAGCATAGCAGAGAATAAGAAGCGTATCGGTTGCCAGGATGTCGCGCCCAGCAGCGCGTAAGGCCGCTCCTAAGGGGGAATACATCGAGACCGTATGTCTCTCCTCCCCTTCCGCATCAACAAAACACCCGAAAAAACATTATACACATCTTGCGCACCCCATTACCACATCCTTGCCATTTCATAACTCCATCACAACCCCAAACCATGACACCTCCCCACTAACACCACCCCCAGGATTCCGGCAACAAAGTCTCCCGCCGCAGCGCGATCACCGGTACTGCCAACATCACGCTCGGCGGGCGCACCGTCATCATGGCCGACGTGCAACTGCGCGGCGACCTGCACCCCACACGCTCGGCACCTTCTTCGTCTGGTAAGGACGTGACGCCGACGAGCATCAGCATAGGGCGCTGTACGGTCATCAGCCAGGGAAGCGTGATTAAGCCGCCAAGCAGGATTAGTAGGGGCCAGGTGCATTATTATCCGATGAAGATTGGGGATAATGTTTTTGTTGGTACGTTTGTTCCTTTCTCTTTCTTTTCATTTGTCAGGTTGGAACATGGGTCTGGGTACGATGGATTGGAGGATATGGGGGTGGCGTACGCCATGCTAAGAGTGACAACAGGGCCAAACTCGACTGTCCAGGCTATCTCCATTTCTTCTCATGTGCACATAGGGCATCACTGCAATATCGGTCCTTTTGCTATCATTAAGGAAAACGTCAAGATATTACCACATACCGTTGTACCAGCGAACATGGTCATTGCGTCGGGGTCTGTGGTGGGTGGTCAGCCGGCGCGGGTGGTGGGCGATGTAGGAGAGGGGTGGGGTGTTAGTGGAGGTGGTGGTGGCGGATTGGGCGTTGGCGGTGGAGGGGAGGAGAAGTGGGTGGAAGGTGGAGATCTCAGGGAGCTCGTTAGAAGTATCAGATGAAGGTTGGAGTTGCGCGTGAGTGGAGACGAGATGGGCATGAAAGAGAGATATGGCGAAGAGAGGAATGGGATGATATCCAGGTAGGGTTGATGCATTCTTCCAGAACATTGCGAAATGTTATTTCTGGTTCAATGAAGCTACCAAACTACGATATAGGTAGTTCAGATTCCATCTCAAATATGTACAAAGAAAGAAGGCGAAAAGTGCCAAACAACTGAGCGCAAGACTCGCGCAACTCAGCGACTACCAACAATGCTGCATCGTAACTTCCAAGCCAGCCCTCGAAAATCGCTACCTAATCATCATATGGACCGTAACAACCGTGTCGTTCATATCACTCAAAATCTCCATGAAACGCATACATAGATCGCAGCGAAGCGTCTCCATTCTCTATCCTAGCTATTACCCGCCCGTAGGTGGCCAACGTATTTACATCCATCTACACCATCTCGTTCCCCTTCTGCGCTTTGACCTCCATGGTAGTCAACTCAAACTCTCTTTTCTGGTAGATACCCTGCGTGTCCCAAGAATCGGGGCAACTCTCGCTTTTCGTATCGTTTAAGGTGGTTCGTCCATCGGAGTAGATGTGCGCTTTGTGCGTGGATTTGGTGCCGATGGTTGGGCCGGGGCCGAAACCGAAGCCGAAAAGGGATGGAGCTCTGTGTGATGTTAGCGTTTTGCGACAACGACAGTACAAGATGAGGACGTACCGGCTGCGTCGCCTTGTTCCTTCTGCGGTGGACGCCAGCTTCTTCGATGTAAGGGAAGTCTTGATGTCCCGGAGGAGGGGTCGCAACACGGGTATACACTGGACGATGATGGTGCCGACGATCTCCGAAGAATACCAAATGTTGGAATGGGCGTTGCGCCAGAAGTACCACTCGTCCTTCACGTTGCCCTCGTCTTTCCAGCCTGTGCGTACAGCAGATACGATCGCAACAAACATTCCCTATTCCAAAGTCAGTGGTGGATTATAGGGGCATACTTGAAGCGACGCACCAGACTCATGGCAACACAAAGCCCAATCTTTTCCACCTTCCGCATGTCGAGGTTCCATGTGATGACCCAGGGGAAGACTGCGAGGATAAAGTCCATGATGATGTTGTACACGTTGCCGCCTTCCTTGAAGTCGTCCCTGAACTTCGAGTCCAGGCAGAAATCCAAGCGGTACCAGACGTCATAGGATTCTTTGCCGCACACCTTTGCCCATTGGAGAATGACCTTGGCAATCATGTATGCATTCATGCTGCCAATGATGAACCATAGTATCCATTGGCCCCAGTTCTTAGTCAGCTTGAGCAAAGTGACGGCGAAGGCAGTTTTGGTGAGCGATTGGTTGATCAGTGTTCCACAGGAGGTAATGTTGATAAGTATGTGCATTCGATCATCCCATGTGTCGGTCACATAGCCCGTGGCATACTCGGTTGTGATGATGGCATTGTTGACAGCAAGTAAGACCTGTTACATCGTCAGCTACGACTATCTGTAAGCCCAACAGGTGTCTTACCCATGCAACGAGGAGGATGTGGTCATCCCACCAGAGACCGTGGCGACGAGTGACTTTGATCCATATCCGGAGCGCCAGGAAGAGTGATGCACCAGCAAACAACGCCCATAGCCCAATGTTCAACTCGAGCGAAGGATCCACGTAGTGGTGATGCGAATCATCGTGGTTCCGGCGGATCATGTTTTCCCAGCGGTCGGAACGGGATGCGGCATAGAAGCGAAATGAAGGAAACCGTAAAGAGTGAGATGTAGTCGCAGACCGACAAAGTTAAGAAACGAACGAACGAATGCCTCCGGCACTCTATACTGAATGACCGGGGTGGTGGGTGGAAGAAACGACGAACAAGAAACGCCGTAAAGTGCGAAGCGGCACGAGGTCTAGATGACATTTGCGCATCCCCGTGCAAGGATTCCAGGGATTTCCTGTTGTTAGCATCGATCACAGCCCAGCAAGCGACAATCTGCTTGACATTCCAGACTCGGAGGTTTTGAAATGAGTCCCATCTCGAAGGGTGGTTGGTGGAACC